GTAAAATCCGCAGACTGATGAAGAAGGTTGGGATACCGGACGCGTGGACAAAGACGACAACGGAATTGGAGGCCGCCCTCTGTCAGGACCGGAAGGACTACCTTGAGGCTAAGACTCATTATGCTGCAAAGTGGCAAAAGGACTTTTTGACGGTGCAGGCGGCGAAGTCCAAAAAGAAACAATGGCGGTCGCGAAAGGCCAGAGACCGGTTCCTGCGGTTACGGCGGATGAAGCAACGGGAGGAGGCGAGGCGCCGACGCCGCGCTCAGGGAAAAGGATCTACTGGGGGATTACACGCGATCCAAGTCAAAGAAAGGCTGCCTTCAGGCGAAGTGGGCTTGCGGACTGTCTCCGAAAGGAGTCAAGTGGAACAGGGGTGCATGCAGGAGAATTGCGCACGGTATGATCAGACCAGATCGCCTCATATGACCCCTTCAATGGATGCACCATTGTACCAAATGTTTAATGGCCATGACGCGGAACAAAACTCCCTGGCCCTTCTTGAAGGGCGTCTTCCTCTACCAGATGGCATTGGGTCTTTCCTTTCTCAGTGCAGGTTCCACAAAGATCATTCTACGTCCCTTCTGGAGGTTTCTACTGAAAATCACACCTACTTCTGGTCTCGGAATCCGGAACACAAGGGCTCTGAACCTCATGACCTGCATAATGGCCACTTTAAATCTGGGATTCTCTCCCCTATGGTCGCCCAGTGTGACGCCTTGTTTTGGCATATCCCTCTAACTACTGGGTTCGTTCCTGACAACTGGCGACATTTAATGAACTTTGCCATCAAAAAGAAGCCCGGGGAGTTTTGCTTGAAGAAAATGCGCACAATTCAGTTGATGAACTCCGAATCCCAGGCCAATTATAAGCAACTTGGCCGTCTGGTCATGACTTATGGCGAAGAACATCACCTGATTGCTGATGGTCAATGCGGGTCCCGAAAGCACCATCAAGCGATCGATCTTGCCCTGTCGAAGCGGCTGGTGTGGGACCTCCTGATTCTCCAGCGTCGA